CACACACACACACACACACACACACCCTCCGTCCTCCACTCTTCTCAGGCAATTTCCGCGCGAGAGGAGCTCCCCCAAGAAAAGCACCAACATGAATGCCTGCATCCTGGTGCCGGCGTCGCGACATGCCCCGCTGGACACGGAGTCCTTTGTCCGGGCCACTGGGCGCCAGCAGAAGGCCCAGGATGCCGAGATGGACGACACCAACGGCCCCACCAACGGCCCGGTTACTGTGACCGATTCGCAGCTTGTCACCCCGGGTGAAGTCCTGACCATGGTGGACAATCGCCTGACGCACGGGCATTGCACGCGCATCATCCCGGCCTACGAGCTGAGCAGCATTTCGCCGGATGTCCTGACCGAGCAGCAGGCCACGCCGGAGCTCCTGTCGCGGTATATCCGCTCCACGGTGGCCGGCACAGTGTCACGCATCAACAGTCTCCTGACCGTGGTCCCATCGCGGCTGCCCCGCTATCGCGGCCACACGGGCGATGTTGTGGTCGGCCGGATTATCGCCGTCGGCCCGGGCCCGCGCTGGCGCATTGACCTCAATGCTCGGTGCTTTGGCGTCATGCGTCTGTCCTCGATCCTCCTTCCGGATGGCGTGCAGGTATGTACTTCGCCGCGGCCTCCCGGCCACCTGGCGCTCCCTTTTGCCCCTGCCCCTCCAGCCGTCCGATGTTGGCTGGCCGCAGCCCACCGCACACGATGGCCTTTCCAATCTCTGACCTTCTTCTTGGCGATCGTGCACCTCCTCGGTCTTGTCTGCCTCCCCCCCCCCCCCGCACACACACATACACACACACACATACACACAGCGCCGCAAGTCCCAGGACGATGAGCTCCAGATGCGCACCTACTTCAAGGAGGGCGACCTCTTCAGTGTACGCCATTCACTCGCCCATCCGGCCTCGTTGCTTTCCTCCTTTGCCCTCCCTCGGGATCTCCCTTGCTGTCGGCCTGCTTACCTCGGTCCTTCTTTGTCACGTATCTCCCGCTGCGGCTGGGCGCGGGTCGGCCGGGGAATCCCAATCAAGGCTGAAGTCCAGTCGATTGGCCATGACTCGATGATCTCCGTGCACTTCCGCAACAACAAGTTCGGCAAGGTTCGTTTGCCTCCGCCCTTCTTTGCTTCGCGAGCACGCTCGCGCCCATGCGCGACCCCAGTCTCACACAAAAGCCCACCACGACCCGCTGCAGCTGAGCCATGGCACGCTCATCACCGTGCCACCGCATCTGGTCCTGCGCTCGATTCAGTTCACCTCGATCCCGTCCGTTCCCGGCTCCGAGCACAACTCCGGCGCGGTGGACGTCATCCTCAGCCTCAATGGCTATATTTGGGTGGCCCCCAAGCCCATGGAGGCCGGCGACTCGGTACTTAGATGCATCCCTTTGTTCGCGCTCGCTTTTCCCCCGGCTCCTCGATCGGGGAGGGGGGGAGAACCCGCTCTCGCTTCTCCGGCTTCCTTTTTGCCGCCGCCCTTCCGCTTGCCTTCTGACCATGCCTCTTGTATGTGCCTCGTAGGACTTCTCTCCGGCTCACCGGCTGGCGGCAGCTCGGGTGTGTGCCGCCATCCGCGCTCTGGCCAGCCACGAGCGCATGATCTCCAACCAATCGATCCTGATGGTTTGCGAGGCGTCGGCCAGCTACTCGCCGGCAAGCCTTTCGCGCCCGGAGATCGCGGCCAAGGTCATCGCCGAGGCCATTCGGTAAGGAAGAAGAACCGGGAAGACGCGTGCACAATGTCCCCCTTCCCCCCCCCCCCCCCCCCCCCCCCCCCCCCTCCCCCCCCCCCCCCCCCCCACCCCCCCCCACCCCCCCCCCCACCCCCCCCCCACCCCCCCCATCCCCAACGCCAAGACCGTCGCCGGCAAGACCAGCTTCGTCAAGCTCTGAGCCACTTGGACTGGTGTGCCTCTGGCGCCCCCCCCCTCCCCCCCCCCCCCCCCCCCTGTAAACATGCATACACACCCACGCACACATTGTCACGAAGGACTTTCTGCCGTCGGGGACCCTCCGCGAAGGCATACGCCGGGGGCTCCCCATCCGGCGTCGGTGGCGCCTCCTCTCGTGCTGCTTTCACATCTCCAACCGCATGCAGGCGTCTGTGCGTGCGTGTGTGTGTGTATGTGTGTGTGTGTCTTCATCTACCTTCTTCCTTTGGATGTCCAGAAACACATGAAATAGAAAAGAGCGAATCCGTGGGCCCTCATTTGTGTGGTGGTGCTGTCAGCGCATTGTGGCCAGCTGTGCCCGGTGTGTGTGTGTGTGTGTGTGTGACAAAGACCCATGGGGTGTGGTACCTCTGTTCCGTTGCCTCTCCTCATCCCCCCTCCTCGCTCCCTCTTTTTCGGTCCTTCTGTCGGGAGTTTCCCTTGTTCCACAGGCCAGGCTGATGTCTTTTTTCCCCTATTTGAAACCCCCTCCTCCCCCCCGACTCGCCGCGTGGGTAGAACACATATACAAAAAGAAAAGAGCCCGCCTCTCCCCCGGGGCGGCGGGAGAACAGCCAAAAGGTATCCTATGGAGGCGGAGGGTATCGATCCCCCTGCCTGCCGCATGCTAAGCGGCCGCTCTACCATTTGAGCTACGCCCCCTGTTCAGATGGAAATGGAGCCACCTTTGGTGAATTTGAATCAACGCTTTGGCCAGCGAGCGCAATGCGGCCGCACGACGATGCCGCCAGAGGGAGTTCCCATGAAAATGCAACACATAAAAGGCTAGAATGGGAGCAATCCATCACAACCGAATGGCGAAGTGGATAACGCGCTCGCCTCCGGAGCGAGAGACCCTGGGTTCGATCCCCAGTTCGGTTGACTCTTCTTTTTTGACGGCACGCGTGGTCCGGGTTCATTTTTCGTGCAGGCCGCCAGAGACACGCAGAACGCCACAATAAGCAGGGCAGGGGGATTCTCCTGTGCACCTGTGACCGTCGTCTTTTTTCTTCCTTTCCCCCTATCCCTGATGGACAAAAAGCCCCATTCACCCGGGGGGGCTGCCAGGCTGTTCTCTATCCCCCCCTGTCGCCGTTGCGCCTCTCCTGGCGTGCACCACCGGCGCGTGGTCCTCCCAGGAAGAGAAAGGAGGAGTGGCAAACATCCGGGTGCGCTCATCAGCCCCGGGGGATTGCCCTCACCAAGGCGGCCTAGGGGCCGGTCAACTTGCCAGCTGAAACACCCCCCCCCCCCCCCCCTCCCCCCCCGGGCGGAAGGCTCCCTCGCCAATGTACCGGCCGCACCATAGACGGCGGAGGATGGCTCGCACACAGATCCAAGGAGGGTATTATATTTTGGGGATCTGAAGGAGAAAGATGCGGAGAGGGAGAAATACAAGGACTGGGAGGAAGAGAGACACAGAGAAAGACAGAGCAGCATCGCCACAAGGGGAGGAGAGCATGCATGCATGCCTGCGTGCACGGCCGGGCCCGAAGAAAAAAAGGGAGATCAGGAGCGGCGACGCGCAGCAGGAGCAGCGGCCGGTGTGCGGCCGACGGGCGGGGCAATCTCTGATGCAAACAACCACCGTGCCTCGGTCTAGCGGGATCTCCATCGCGCATTGTGCGCCTGCCCCGGCGCGCGGGCGCAATCAAAAAGAGAGGCGCGGAGGGGCACACCGCAGCGACCAGTGGGGGGGGGGGGGGGGAGCACGGCGCAGGCGGGGCGTGTCTGCTCCCCCATTAGTCGGTCTTCTTGCTGTTGGCCGGGCGATGGGCCAGACGCAGGGCAGCCAGGATGCGGCGGCCGGAGACGAAGGCGCAGATGGTCGGGATGATGACCCAGACGATGTTGAAGAAGAAGAAGTAGAACCAGAAGTAGTAGGGGGTCGGGTCGGAGTGGGGGAAGTTCTCGAGGATCTCCATGCCGAAGTAGCAAATGACACCGTACAGCTGGCAGATGGACACCACGACAACGGCCAGGTCAGCCCAGTAGCGGCGGCGGAGGAGACCGTAAGCGGCCATGAGAGCAACGGGACCATCGAAGAAGGCAGTGATCATCTCCATGGAAACGATGAAGGGGTCCGAGATGACATAGCGGCTGTCGGAGATGCTGTACTCCTTCCAGAGCTGACCCATGGTGGACATGTCGGCGGCCATGTTGCGGTGGAAGACGGCGAAGTAGCCCTCGATGATGAGGTGGACATTGGCGGTGAAGAACATCCAGACGGCCATGAGCTTGCTGGTGGTGGACACCTTGCGGGCAAGGACTGCGACAGGGGGGAGGGGGG